TTCACAGGGCCCCTCCTCGGCGGTCTCGCTATCTCTGGATTTCCACGGGCAAAAAGGGGCACCATATGGGTCTGACTTTTTTCGGGGTGCCCCTGGTTTGGTGGTTTTAAAGGAAATCAAAAGGAACACCACCCATGTGTGGAGCCCCCCTAAAAAAAAGGTCCATCATAAAAAGACAAACCCATCTTTTGTCGGCTATTGTTTCAAACGGGGAATCTCCAACCCTCGAGCAGAGCGCAGCAAGTTTCAGCTCTGAAGCCTAGGCGAAGGAAGCTACAACTGTAAACATGTGACATTGTCGCAACTTCATAACTCCAAGGCCCCTTCGAATTTTCCATTTGGGCAAACTTACAAGCCATTTAGCATCCAGCATGACACTGAGCAGATTCTGCTGGTTGCCAGCCTTATGGACCTGCTTCCATTTCACTGCGTAGTCGTGAAAAGCCGCGCGAGCCACTGCCAAAATGTGCAGGTGCCCTAGATGGTAGACTCCTCTGCGGATTTCGACCGAACCTCCAAAGCAAATTGTATTTGGACGAGCCTCCTTTTTGGGGATCCCTTCTGGGTTCCATGTGAATTTGCAGGTCATCTTGCCAAACCTCCCTCTCGGCTGCCAAGTGGGGTCCTCCCAGTGGAAAATTATCTGCCCATTCTGTGAACCACCAAACATGAATTGGCTATGCTCATGCCAACCCTGTCAGCCTGGGGGGAGTGGCCACCTCTACCCCAATTTTCCACCCATCGACTTGCATCGGGGGGCCAAAGCCTGCCCACTGAGCGAATTCCTCGGCCAGAACATCCGGGCTTAAAGTCGGCCCTTTATCCAAATGCTGGACCCATTCTAGACATCCGCAACGAAGATTCTCTAGATAGTGGTGATAAGGGGGTTCCCAGCACCAAAAAGAGAACCACGCCAATTGTTAGTGAAACTGCACCCGAATTTAGGGAATACCAAAGGCAATCAAATGAGAACCCTTCAAAATCCGATTGAATCCTAGTTTGGGGAAACAATTTATTCTCAAAATCGAGTCCCACAACCAAGTTGGAGAACCCCCTGAGAACGTTGCAGGACGTTCTTTTTCCCCCCCCCCCCAACAAAAGGCGAGGGAAATGCCGGGCCAGGCGTCGATGCGCAGCAGCAGCGACTGGGCCTGGTGGATCCACCCGTAGGGTATCAAAAGAGTACTAAAAGAGCACTGAAGAAAGAACCTGCAGGGGGAAGAAGAGGTGAAATCCACAAAAAGCGCATCCAACCCAATTCGAGCCCAACATTTGGGGTGCCCTTGTTTAGGGTACCCTTTCTTTGCGGCTTTAAGGGGAAGCCGAGGTAAAACCGGCCGTTTCGGGGAGTCTCCAGAAAAAGACACACCTACGCGCCTAAGTTGACTGACTGTACTGGCTTGAGGTGCCACCAGAGCCCTAAACGAGAGCAGCAACTCTTTCCAGACCTTCATATGTCAGCCAAAGAATTGGTCTTTGCAGCCCCCCCACGAATGATGTGGGTGAATCTGGGATAAACTGAGTGGCTCGCGGTCTTTAATGGGATTCTTGCTCAATGGTCTGAAGACCATGGAGCCTGTGGTATCACATAGTCTTTGGGTTTGAAGGGAAAGGCCCCATCTTGAAAATTCTCCCACGATACCCATACAAACCTGGTAGAGGCTACCCAAAGCCCATTGCCAGGCATGAGGGCAGAAATCCACGCCAATTTACTATTTCGAAAGTCCCTACAAATCTTCAACAAGCTCGATTTAGATTGCGCTGCGGCTTGAGCCATAACCCTTGAAAAAGCACCCAGACCTCCACCTCCAGTGGATTTGCATGCGTCATTTGCATCCATTTGGCAGCTGAGCCTCTCGAACATTCGAGGTCTGAACCAAACCCTCAGCGCCCCAACTCCAGTAATGGCGTGGGCATGGTCTTGCTTGTAACAGCGTAAATCCGCTGGTCAGGTGAAGGGGGCAAAACACCTTAGGGTTGTGACCGGCCTTTGTGCTGATTAGGTTTCAGTACGACTATTTTACTATTCACATGTACTATGTCACTAGGAATTCCTCAGCCTTTATGACTGAGTTACAGTTGTTTTGCACATTAAGCCCCCCTCCCTCCAAAAACGCAAAATAATTCGGCTCAAGTCTGGGGCCGCTTTTTTTTTAACGTAAACAACATGCACAAAAAAAAAAGGTCGCAACAGTGACGATTGTTTAAGGTTTATTTACGATCTCGGCCTACGACTTCCCGGGACTCGCCAATTTGCTCTTCAAAGGTGCGGTGGAAACAAATCGTAAAACCGGCCCAGCCAAAACATCAAGGTCAAACGGACCAAAATCGTATCTAGATCGTAAACAAATAACTTGCCGGATAGGGAATGACCTCCCGGGTGGTGGGCATGAACCATTGTGGGACTCCCTTGAAGGAAACACAAGGGATGTGCTTGTTTTCGGTGTCATTGCCTATAGGGTCACAACCTTAAGGGCGAATGGACTGCATAGGTTGTGATCCTTTCGTTCAGCAAAACTCCCGACTGCATCAAAGGAGATCCAACCAAATCCCAGAAATGATGCATAGGGAGTTGTGGTAAATTCAAAACACATCCCCAAATCCATCCACCAAATCCAGCGTTATCAACAAAATCAACATAAAATGGCAATGCACCGTTTTGTTGGTAAAGTTGAAAGGGGAACCCTTTAAACAGGAAAAATGGGTACTGGAGGTCTGGGGGTAATCTCAGCGGCCAAATAACCTGTGACGGGCAGTGCACAATCCCTCCCGCACTGCGATATCTTTGCTTTGTAGGGAATGTACACAGTTGACTTGGTGGGCGGGATGCCTCAAACAATCGTCGTGACTGCCAATGCTCTGGGAAAGAATGCGTGAATTCTTCTGCCGGTGGGCATGGGGCAAAAGAGGGCCCAAGCAGGTCTGAGAAAGCCAAGCCTCTGAAAATGTGAAGATTCCAGGCCGGTCCTTATCACCTTTTGCAAATCTAAGACAGGCATGCTTGTCATCAGCGGCCCTGACGCCTGGTGTTTGATTGAGAGCAAGCTGTTCTTCAGGTAAAGGGAAATCCACGGAGGGGGGGGGGGTTGTAGCGTGTCTTCTTTGAGGGTCCCTGAATTGCGCTTCTGAATAAATAACCATCCGTGTTGGGCTTTACAAAGGGTTCTTCATCCACTATGGCTGAATCATCCCTTGCCTCCTTCTTTTGTTCAGTGTTTTTTGTGGCGGGTGTAAAAAGGGCTTATATGGGTAAGAAAAAAGTGTCCTTGCATTCAAAAAGGTTCGACCAGCCTCTTTAGGGGTCTAAGTGTCCTTTTAGGGCAAATAGATGGCCCTGGTAGATGATTAAACCATCAGGTAAACCAGGGCCATCTATTTTTTTACCAAAACAGCCAAAAAGGACACCTATGGGTCTGTTTTTCTAGGGGTTCTGGGTCAGGGCCACATCCAAAAGGTCAATACCCGCCTTTTGTCCCCGTCTTCCCGCCCGCCTTTGCCCAGCTCACGGTTCGCCTCAAGTCCGGCAGCGGCGAGAGCGCTGACAGGGCGACTTCAAAGGCAGCCAAGGCCTCGGCACGGCTCAGCCCCTGGGTTCCAGCGAGGCACAGCCAAAACCGATCTAAAATGGTCGTAATCCCGGAATGAGAATTAAGACAGCTTGCACCATTTCGGGTTGGGATTGCCCCTAGGCTCCAATTACCCGGGTTTTGATTGTGGCTCAGGTGAGCTCTTGGTAGCAACCCACAACTCACAACTGGAATGGGCAACCATGGTTGTAATCGCTGGGGCTGGACTCACTCTTGCTGTGAAACAGACTGAAAGAGTACCTGACAATTTCAATTTGTTTGAAGAAAAAGAGGACACCACAGCCCAGGCAAGTCCTTTGGCCGTGTTTTGGGAGAAGTTTGGGTTCCATCGGACGCGACTCGCGGGACTTAGTCATACTTTTTCCACCAGGGGTCACTGGATTTCCTCAAAAGTTGATCAATTGACCGGTGGAAGCCCATTGAAACGATCGCTTTCCACTTTTGGAGCGTCCCTTCAAAGGGAAATCTGAGGGCTCGAGGAAACCCTGGGACCCAGAAATTAAAAGCCATCGACTTTTGGGGCCACGAAAAATGGACCAAAACGGGTGAAACTAACAGGATGAAAGGTCGAGTTTGCTTTGTGCAAGTAGATCCCTCTACCCGTGAGACAACCAAAAGGGCTTCGACTTATGGGTTAACCCTCAGAAATGGCAACGGTGTGGGGAAGTGTAGCCCAAACAGTTTATCAAATGATGATTGCCCCAAAACAACAACACCAAAGAGGAGTTGGACCAGCGATGGGTGTAAACTTTGATGGGGACCCGTTCGTGTGTCCCGTTTGTTTTCTGACGTCTATGTTATCTTATGTAAACGCCAATGTGTGGGAGGGGGAAGGGGGGGGGGACTTGTGCCTTCTCACTGTTTAACAAACTGGGGGGCGAGAGAGCCTGCCCAAAGCGCAGCAGCCACGGGGATCAAAAAAAGCGGGTTGTTAAACAGGGGGAACCATCTGGACGGTGTTACAAGAAAAAGGAACACAAGCATTTGCAGGGGTCGTCCAACTGGAGTAACACACAAGAGCCCGACGATCCGAAGGTACCAAATGGCCTGCCTGTGCTCAGTAGGCCAAATCTTTCCGCAAATTTGGAAATGACGACCGGCAATCATCCGCTAGAGAAACCACTTGATTGATTCAAAATGGATATGAGTTGTACTCGAATGTCAACAAGCCCTTGCTAGGCTGACTTTGTTTAGTCGAAGGTCTCCTAGGGAGATGTATCTGGCTTGTGTCAAGCTATATAACCCATGTATAGTCGACATATCATTCTACAGAATATAGTTAAAAGGGGATATGGATTTCCAAGAAAGGTACACAACATTTGCCCTTGAACGTGGCATCAAGCATGCTAAAGCACGGCCCAAACACAAAAGCTACGAGGACTCATCAGAAAGAGTTTGTCCAACATAAAGCTTGGATGCCATGGCCATTCTGTATCTATGATCGTCCGACCGAGTCAGCTTGGGTTCGGACCGTTTTTCATATTGCGGGCGGGGGGGGGGTTGAATAGACCGGCAATCACACAACTCGGTGTGCCTTCCAACCTCTAGGGACCCGCAACGCGGGAAATGGCCAACCCTGAGGTACCCCCATGCCCCCAAGCTTCGAAGCTCCGTGAGCTTGGGAACGACAACCTCCCCCCCCCCGACGCCCACCTCCCCAAAAGAAAGAAATAATAATGATGATAACAAAAATATAACAATAATAATAATAATAGAAGAGCAAAGGGCACTCAAGGAATCTGAGAAGGAAGTGCCCTTTGGTTAGTTGGGATGATACAGTACTCCCCCCCCTCTCCCGTAGAGAGCGGTCGGAACTGCAATCACTTCTGTCATACCAGTGGAAGGCCTTCCAAATGAATCATTCTCCATTTTAACAAGAGGTCCCCTGGTATCACGGTGGAACCCAATGTCTCAGTCCTACAACCCTGCCCAGCCTTGAAAAGAAATTCCTAACCCGGGGCATAGTTTTCTGCACCCGTCGTTGCTGCTGATGCAGAATGTTGGTTGCCGATGTTTGAACGGAATGTGAGTATTTGTTCGCTGGAAGCATGCTGAGGGTTTAATACTGTCAAGTAAAAATGATGGCCACCTGCCTGCATTCCGTTGACCTTCGCACTAACGCGGCATTGCGTTTGGAAGCTTCACATCTTCGCACACTTCCACGCGGCACTTCTTTTCTACAAGAACTGATTAGTTGTGCCGAAACGATTGGACCATGCACAACTTGTGCCGGTCGAGGCTTGACGCAACTTCGCAAGCGTCCGGACTCAGCGCAGCCCCATGTTGGCCCATCACGCATCTGGCCTAGCCCTCAAAAAGCTGTGCATTTGCCAAAATGCAAGCGCTACAAACGGCTCAGAAGAGCTGATCACGCTGGGTTGGATGCGACTGAGTCCAGGCAAAAGTGAACCCAGCCAAGTGCTGGGACAGTGGAACTGCGCAGGCGAAACGTGGCAAACAGCCCGAGAACTCGTATTTGCCTTCCCTAACTGTCTGCAAGCTGTGGGCGGTCAAGCTTTCATTTGGTATTTTTCAATTAATTTTTCCGTCTTCGCTCCGCAATGGTAACATGCTAAGCGTATTCTTCTCGTTTCTCTTCAGGCTGCAGATCTAACTGAAGGGTGACCCGTTGAAGGGGCGTTTACAAATGGGTTCCTTCTGAATGCTACACACATGATTGTGCAGGCGATCGGAGTCTGCTTGTTAGAACCTGCTTGCGGTCCCGTGACGAACAATAGAGATGAATCACCATGGGCTGATTTGCCAAAGCTCAACCTACCCGCGTGTGGTTTGACAGATCAAGACATACACACCGCCCGCAGAGAGTTGCACTGGGCGTGCTTTGTTGAGTGGGAGAAAGGGAAGACGCTCAGCGGTTGGTTTCCAGTTGACTGCCTGACTGCCTGCCTTCCGAAACAAACCGCAAGAACAAGGGGTCTGCTTTAGCTTTCGCAGCGTTTGTGCGACCTTGGCACATAGATGTGTTCCTCATGAAGGGAGCCCAAGGGAATCAAACCAGTTGTCCCCCTTAGTGCCGCTGGGATTCAAAGCAATAGATTGCTTTGATTTTGGAAAGAAACGATTCTGAGGTCACAGGTTTTTTGCCCAGAATCCTTTGAGTCCCGCCTTTTTATCAATCTCAACGGGCGCCACCTCGCCCTGTGGAACGTTAAATCATGAGGCACATGCTGCCTCAGGGATCGAGAAAATGCCGGCAAAACCTAAGCTGAGGCTGCCAGACTCAATCCAGGAATCTTGGCCAAATGTCGACAGGCAGTGTGTCCCAAGGTGCTTCTCACTAAATCAATGCTTTTTCAAATCAGCTTTTTTTGTTTCTCGAATGTTGACCATGTCAGTTGCTTAGGACTTTGTCAGGTGAAAGTAGATGCAACAATTCCCGCGCTTGGCTAGCTCATCCCCACATCAAGAGAATTGTGAAATCTACTTTTGCTCTGATGTCCTCAGGTAATTGGTGGCCAACACAAGGAAACCGTTCCCATTGATAACTGGCAAGGGAAGTTCACCAAATCACTGGTGTGATGTGTTGCACCTCAGGTTTCTTCGCGGAAAGTAGAACCCTTGCAGTTGTCACACGCGACAAACACAACGCTTCATGCTTGCACCGAAAGTGTCAAAATGATACTGCCTGCTGAGGGTAGCCACATGTTGCAAAAACATTTGGTCCCCTCTGTATCTTTGAAGTCAATCCCCAAACCCGTGTGGACTGCGACAGATCTGGTGGGTGTTTGCTACCAACCTAGGACTTGTTCCCTCCCTTCTGAAACCGAGCACGCATTCCCCAAAGTGACCTTACCACACAATCATCTCTGGTGGCGCTGTCAAAGATTGGCCGGCAAATAAACACCAAGTAAGCTGAATGCATCCCTGCATGCCGGTTTTTTTCTTACACGAGTCACTCGGTTTGTAGCGATATTCTCAAACACTGGGATTCCCTGCCCTCCATGGACGGCACTCAGATTCTCACCGCATACCAACAGGGGTTCTCCCCTTTCATTAAAGAATGAAAGGTGATGTTTAGCGCACCCCAAAGCAAGGAGCCCCACCAACCGCCCCAGAAGAGTTAGACTTCATCACAGCTGTGACGCACCCATTCCCCCATTCCCCCATTCCCCCATTCCCCCATTCCCGCATTCCCCCATGCCCCTTAGGTGCCTGCAAAGAAAAACTCACCCGATGTGGGGTTTCAAAATAGGGGTCCCCCAAATTTCCCTCTAACCCCAAAAAGGGTAGCCTCAAGAAAGACTCACCTTATGTTCATTCATGAGTTGCTACCATGACATCATGCATCTGGGTGCGTCACAGGTGGTTTCACGTCCATGTTAGCAAGATATCTTCAAACAATCGCTCCAACTTGAAAACTGTTGTTTTACAGGGGGGCTCAAAGGGGCACGGGCAAACGGTGCTTCGGAATCCGCGTGTTTCAGCTTGAAGTGGAGTGTCTCATTAAAAACCCACAGATTGAAGCTTCTCTTTTGGCGTTCCTTCGAAAGAAAAAGCAAAAGACTCTCGGTGCACCCAACCCCATGCCCCCTACAAAAGTCATTAAATAGCTGGCATCAGGGGCGCCAGTGCATGTTGAGCCCAAAGCCTGGCCCAAGTGGCTCTAGCATCTGGCGTCGGGGCTGGCCAACTGCAGGATGATCTTGTTGAAGGTCTCGCTGGGGTTCATGGCCTGTCGGGAACACATGGAACGAAGTGCCCGGACCTCCAAATGCCCGAGACAAAAGAAGACGAACCCAACTTGGGCTCATGCATGCATATCACAGGAGAGTGTGTCAGACCTTTGCTGCTGAATGGATCCTGCGTAGAAAGCCGTACCTCAAAAAACACATACCCAAGTCTTTCTGTGATGCCAAAGTTCTCATCCCTGACTGGTTTGTCACGGGGGATTCCTTGAATACCACAGACTATGGCAACTTCAAATCGACCATCTTGCACCACGCACCCCGACTCGGAAAATACCGTCTCGTCACCGAGGGCGCAAATGAAACATCGAGGGCATGGTCAGGTATGGGTGTTGGAGGTATGGAGAGTGGTAGACAACCTCCAAACCTCCCGCACACAGAATACATGAAAATGCCCTTGAAACAAACAGCTCGCTACTCGATCCAGATCGCTCAGGATTCCGCAATCATCCCAGAGGTTTATACTTCTTCTAGTCCAGTTGGTTTCACCCTTCAAAGCCCTTTTGTTGGTTGGCTTCCCTCAAAAGAAACCGGCCAGCCTCAGTCCAAGGGTTCCAAAGATAGAGATTTCCACTCAGCCGAATTGTCTGCCCCCACAAGCTACGGTTGTTCGAAAATAGCCCTCTTTCCATGATACCAAAGTGATCGATTCCCATGACTACTTGTAGCATGGCAGAAAGTGGTCCTACAACCGTTAGAGTATGTGTCAATATATGACCCCCAAACAAAGCAGCGAAAACAAAACACAAACCCAAGTTTGTCCTTTTCCGAAGTTGGCACCCAGGCAAAAAAAATAAACACTCGCCCATCCACCCGCCCCGTCCCGCTCCACGCCCCGTTATTCTGTCCCACCCACCCACCCCACCGCGGCACCTTGTCAGCCTTGGCCTTGTCCACCCGGTAGTAGCCGCCGATGTCCACCGACGAGCCCTGGCACTCAATGAGGTCCTGATGTTGCAAAAGAGCGATAGATAGACAGATAGACAAGTAGATAAATAAGATAGATAGGTTAGTTAGTGCGTTAGATAGTTAGATAGATAGATAGATAGGTAATTATATAGATAGGCTCACCTTTCCGTCTTCTTTTTGTATGGAATCTACAGAATTCCCTTCCGCGGGAGAAACATCCACCAGAAATTCAACACATCCACTCGAGACACATCCATAGGAAATCCGTTCCACAATTCCTCATCAGTGCACACCACGATTCGCGATCCACAGACTTATACTCCAAAGCTGTTGGAGGGGGGTCTACGAAACTAATGGAGCTAAAAGACGATGCTTAAATCCACACAAACGGACATTTAGGCACCCCTGCAAACAAATGACAAAGAATCAAATGGGCAACGATTAGCCTGCTTTCTTGTTGGGGCTGTGCCCTGACTTCACTCATACATGCAACAACAACCGCATTTCGATCGTGACGCACTTGAGGATTGACGTAAGCATCATTTGAATCAAGCTATATAGACGCAGTGTTTCGTCCAGCTCCAAACTTGATGCGTTGCGGTCACGCAGCAGAGCCGATTTGACCTTTCAAACACGTCCTCACTCTGCCAACAAAAAGCCGAGTACCAAGCAAAGTAAAATGTAAATCAACTTCACAAGAGGAAGTGATTCGCGCTTGGTCAAGAAAGAGTCAAAACCACGCCAAACCGACAACCCTTGAGGGTTGCCCGGGCGCCTTCGTCTGATCAGGATCCAATCACGATCGTCCAGCAGGGTCCCGAAGGAAGGGTTCCTCAAAAAAGTTGTTTTGGCTTGACCCTTGAGGGGGTTCAGGCGTTGCTGATGACGACGATGATGATCATGATGATGGCAACGATGGTAATGATGGTAACAATGATAGCTGATAGATGTCCAAGCCCCTGTTCCAATAGCCATCTCCTGTCTTTTTCAACCTGAGACCGGCTGAGCTATGCTCCTTCAAGATGGTCTCCTCGGACTTCTGCAGCTCCTGAGCTTGATGCGGGTCTGCTTCTCGGAAACCGCTGGTCTAAAATTCCAGTTCCCCAGTCGGGACTAGAGCTAATAATCAGAAAATGCGGGACTCTCCGCGTGGTGCTGGGGGCTCACGCATATTGAGACAAACGCACAGTCACACAATTACTTAGAACACGGACTGATGAAAGTTTTGATAAATGTTTGGGGGCGATGGACCTGCAAATTTTCGGAAGAGCATTTCTGAATCTATCTGTCTGCAGGAAGTGTGCGTGAAGCACCGGGATGCCTGGCCGGGTTGGCTCGAAGGCAAACATTCGGTCTCATTTGGGATGTCTTGGAAAGCTACAAATGCTCAGCATGTCACACTGTATCCCTCAGGATCGCCTGCGGGTGGTCTCCTTGCGGCGGGATCCAAGTTGTTTGGTTGGGTTCAAACTCCAGAGCGGGCCCTCCGATGAAACTCCGAGTCAGGATCATGATCTTGGTCATCTTGAATGGCAAGGGTGGCCACCATGGCAAGCAATCACGTGGACCCTCTTGGGGGCAGTTGACGGGAACCTGTTTTAGGGGTCCCCTATTTTGAGAAACACCGCATTTTCAGCAAAATATAAGCTCCAATGTCGGTCTGGAATCTTCCACCAATCTTGGCCAGACTTGCAGCCCCTGCAAAAGGTGAACTGTTTGTTGATCCTTGGGCCAAGAGCCCAAGGTCAGTTTCCTCAATGCACTGTGGACGCTAGGCCCTGAGAGCCAAATATCTTCAACCCGCCCGGATGCAACAGGTGGGAGTTGCATCAATTTCTGGGACCCGAAAATGTGGAAAGCCGCCAGCAGGATGCAACCTTTACGCGCCCCACTTGAATTAAGTCGCTGCGAATGCAAAACCTTCGTTTCTGCGGGGAACAACCGGCACTGGGTGCTTTGCGGTTGGTTTGCCCGGAAGCCTTGAGGAAGGAGGCCGCTGAACTTGGAACCGCGGTTCAAATCAGCAGACGCCAGAGTGAAAGCAGATGTTGCACAACTTATTTGGGTAAGCAAAGGTGAGAACTCAGCCAAAATCTACATTGTTGTGTGCCATCTATTTTCACCCAGTAGGTTGCGGAGTCTCGTTTTCAGCCACGTCTCAAAAAGAGAGATACTCCTCTAGGTTGGTCTCATTTGTTTGTGTCCCTAGAAACCATCCAATTTGGGGTTCCCCTACTTTTGAGCTCATGGCGCTGAGGGGAGGGGAGGGGAGGGGAGGGGAGGGGAGGGGAGGGGAGGGGAGGGGAGGGGAGGGGAGGGGAGGGGAGGGGAGGGAGGGAGGGAGGGAGGGAAGGGAGGAGCCCCTCCCTCCTGAAGGCAGACCCTTCTGGGGGTTCCAAGCCGAGACATCCCCGGACTTTTTCTCCCCACCGAGGTTCATTGGAGACCGCCTCAAAGGTTTTCTTCAAGTCCGCCGTCTTGTCCTCGCGATGGGGGTGTCTCGTCTTCTGGGGACGTCTCTGCTTTTGGTTGGTAAAGGGAAACCAAAAGGAATTTGTGTCCCATGGTTCATTATCTTTCGTGTTTTTTTTTTTGGGGGGGGGTCCACAAATACAAACAAGTCCAAGGTTGAAAAAAAAAGAATGTTCGGAGGCAAGCGATTCGACTCGGGTTAGGATACGAATCCAAAATGGAAAAGTGCAAACCTCCCAGCTCCCTGTCAGTCCTGCTTGGCAAGCTCCTCGGCCCAGTACCGGGCAACCCAGTAGTGGCTACCCCTGTTGTCGATCTCCTGCACAACGCGAGTGGCACCGGATGGATGTGTATATAGATATATATATATATATATATACATATATGTACTAATAATAACAATAACAATAACAATAATAATAATAAAAAACAATAATAATAATATTAGCAATAATAATAATAACAATAATAATAATAATAATAATAATAATAATAATAATAATAATAATAATAATATAATAATAATAATACTAATAATAATAATAATAATAATAATAATAATAATAATAATAATAATAATAATAATAATATAATAATAATAATAATAATAATAATAATAATAATAATAATAATAATAATAATAATAATACTAATAACAATAATAAATAATAATAATACATAATAATAATAACAATAACAATAATAATAATAATAATAATAATGATAATAATAATAATAAACATAATAATAACAATAATAACAATAATAATAATAATTATTATTATTATTATTATTATTATGCTAATGCTAATACTAATACAAATAATAAATATTTATTTACTTGTACGGTCACACACACACACAACACAAGGCCGCACTTCAGCATGTTCACTTGTTTTGCAAGCAATGCGTGCTGGTTGGTAGCAAAAGCAAAGCATGTTACCCATGATCTGCGAGCCCACAACAAGCCTGAACGGTTGGCGTGTGCTTGTTCTGACAGCTATTTGATGGGGCATTGTCATTCTTTCAGAATCTCAATGGATACGGGTCTGTCTCAAAATGGGGGGCCCTTTTGGATCAATGGAAACCAAAAGGAAACTGGATGGGTCCGCCCCCAAAATGCTATGAAACCAGACTCCCCAAAGTCGCATGGAACCTTAAAACCTCCAAAAGCCCCTGATGCTCAGCTTTGCCTTTTAGGTCCCATAATATGGTTTCTTCCGGCGTCTCCGGGAAAGCACACGTTTTTTGCCCTGAAACATAGTGGGCAAAATCAAGAACCCTCCCCCCAAGAGGGCATGGGAACGTGAATCCCCTGACGTATCTCAACCTGACCATGGACTGGTAATGTTGACCTGACTGGCTGTGACAAAGGTGGGCAATACAAAACAACAAATACTTGGTGCCAACACAGCCCCTGCATAGGACATCCCAAGTCAAGTCTGCCTCGGTAACATCCATGGCAGACTGAATGTCATAGGTTGGCATGTCTGCCCAGCTAAAAAGAAAACAACAAAAACAACAACTACTCCGCCCGCCCGCGGCGTTCTCGCGCCCGCCTTGACCTTTCTCGAAGGGTTCTTGTTGGCGCTCCTCAGCGACTGTCTGGCTGATTTGGGTCTTAATCAAAACCGATGAATAGCGAAATGGTCTACCCAGAACCTTGGAAAGAATTAAAAAAGCGGCTGCACCCACTTATGGTTGACTAATCTTCATCTACCCGGGTTCTAAAAGTGGCTCATTTGTTATTGACACAGCTTGCTGGAAGCACCAGCAAACCGTGGCCAATGGAAAACAGGCACCCGTTGGGGCAGGGAGGCAGGGAGGAAGGGAGGGAGGGGGGATGGGTGGGTGGATAGATGGATGGATGAGAGCGAGCGTGCGCGCCATTAGGACTGGCTCGGGGAAGGCTTCCCTCCCTCCCTCCCTCCCTCCCTCCCTCCCTCCCTCCCGCGTGGTGGACATGCGAGGCCGGTGCACGGAGCGGTAAAAGTAAAGGGAACCCGCGTCCAAAGAAAGGAAACAATCTGGGTCGCGAACCAGAAATCATATCCAATACAAGCATAACCAAGCCAAGGGCCAAAGGAGATGAAAGACAGGTGCCCGACCAACCAAATCTTCAGTGTGCTGTATTTCGTGAACCTGTATATTGAATGTAGATGACATCCAACAGGGGAACCCTTGTCAAAAAACCGTCTCCTTCCAGTCACTCCCATTCAAGAAAAAACGAAACGGCAGGCTGGACATGGTTCTCCCTTGTCTGGCGCACCTGAAGGGAAGCCCATGAGGGCTCTGATCATCCTGTGGCAGGAGCCCTAAAGGTAGACTCGAAACTTGTTCGCCCAGCGGGTTCAAACCTCCCAAGTCGGAACCTTTGGGCTTGATTGGACAAATTGCCGCGACGACAAGAGCAACCCATCAAGATGTCTCATGATGGTTTCGATCTTCTCCGTCGACCGCAATGCTGAAAATCCAGGTTCACAGACTCCAGGACACAGAGACCGATAAAACAAGCCAAGAACCCAAGGGTTGGGGGATGAGCCACGAAGCCTCAAATAAGGCCAAACAACTCAGGCACCAAAGGCCAAATGAGGCATTTCACGTCAAACCAGGCCACGTCTTCAACTTTGGCCCTTTCCACATCTCATGCGGATTCCTGGCGCCGATCCCTATGCCAAGATTAGAACCCCCATTCCCCACGCCCCTCCTTCAGGCCCTGGTCGCAGAACCAGCCTATTCGATGCAAGGCGCAGAAAGGTGCCCACGGCTTTGTCCAGCGCAGCGCCCAAGGTGCCGGCCGCCGTGTTGTTGGTCTCCCGCGCCAAGTCCTACGAACGAGTCCGATGCCCGGATGCCCCATGGTTTTCCATGGGGCACCCGTCCCAAAAGCAAACAGAGAACCTGCCCGTTCCTAGCAGACAGTTTTCCTTCAACTTGTCCTTCAGGGGACCCCTGTGCAGGTTCCATTTGTTTTTGGGGGTACCTGTTCCAATGTCTAGTTTCTATTTTGAGCAAAGCCTGTGGTAGTCTTGGTCTGTGAAGCTTACCCTGATGGGGTTTGCATGCCCTAAATATTGCGAGTCAGGGAAACAAGAGAACAGCCTCTAATTTACAAAAACACGCACAGTAATGTTTTGTTTGAGTATGGTTGGTTTACGTGCAATATGGCAGGGACTCTTGGGTGGAGCCTGTCCAATGGGGAAAGTGAGACAGACATTGGCGGGGGCCTTGGCCCAGTTTTTTTCCCGCAACACACACCCCGGACCTCCAATGGATTTCCATGGAACAAAGGGTACCTGTCTTTTTTGGCAAATGATGTTTGTTTTAGGCCCCGTGTGTCTTTCAGGGTTGCCACTTCCAGGAAAAAGTGGATGTATACCCTTTGTGTGGCGGATGTACTGTATAGTAGCTGCGTATCCCATGAACCCCCCGGGTCAAGTGGTTTGAGTAGTGATGTTGGGGTAGTGAAAACCATCTTCGATAAACCAGACTGCTTTGTGGCAGTAGCTTCGTGGCTTTTCCCTCGGGGGGCCACATTGCATCTTGCAAGGAGCCCCGTTCTCTTCCCGGATTCCAAGCGGCCACTTGTGTTGCCTGGATCTTCTTTGATGAGCAGGTCACAGTCGAAATCCCATTGCATGACTTGTTCTTTGGAGTTGGTACCCTTCTTTCTTTCTTTCTTTCTTTCTTTCCTTCCTTCCTTCCTTCCTTCCTTCTTTCTTTCTTTCTTTCTTTCTTTCTTTCTTTCTTTCTTTCTTTCTTTCTTTCTTTCTTTCTTTCTTTCTTTCTTTCTTTCTGTGTTTCTTTCTTTCTCTTTTTGTTCTTTTCTTTTCTTTCTTTTTTTTGGGGGGAAGGTCTAAGAACGACCAAAGGAACACCCCCATAAAATTTTGGGAGGGTGCCTTATTTGGAGACAAACCCGCTTCAAGTTTGGAACAACCCCTCAAATGAGTTCTCTCCTGGATGGACTCGCTGAGCGCCAGATACTCTCCTGAGCAAGGCAGGCAGGCAACTTGTGGGTCTTGTGGTAACTTCCCTGTTTCCACAAACCGCAAATCAAACACGGGAAAAGAGCCAGCCGTTGAAAGAACAACGCTTTTGTGTCGACTTGGAAATCAAGCCTAGGGCCCTTGGGGGCAGGTCTTGTCCTGGACGCTTCTGCAGACAGGTTTGAAAAGGAACATGAAACAACAATTTGGGGAGGTGTCTCATTTTGACACTACCCAGGGTACCCATCAAACGATCCACAATCGCTCTCCGCCAGCAGATGATTGCATGATTTGTTTTGGTGGGATCTTGTCTTTGTGTTGTACTGGTACATGTTGGGGTTGGTTTAAAGGGAAACCCAACTAAAATGACACATATTGGGAATCCCCCTATTTTGTTATATGCCCATCTGGGCGTGTCGGCAACGGACTTCGCTTCCTTCAACCCAGTTCCCCAGCGATACAAAAAGACTTGGAACCCTTGGTTGGATTCGGAAGCCCGTTTTTCAGTCGACCAAACACAACGGAAATCTGAGTGGGTCGTTTAGGATTCGGATCCCCGAACAAGGCGCAACGGTTTTTTGGTTGGTTGCCGTTTTTCAATTGGTTTCCCTTTCAAACCACCGACAAAAGGGGGTCCCGAGCAAACAAAGACGGGGCCAAAGAAAATCCGCTCTGACGAATCCAACCGGGTTCCCCAATCGTGCCTAGGGAGTCCCATCGCAGGTGGCCCTCCTGCAGGACGGGATGGCTTCCCATCCAATGCTTACCGGAAACCAATCCCTCTACAAATTGACATGGAACTCAGAACGGGGGTCACCAAAAAGGAGCTGGCTCTGGTTTTCCTTTTCTTGTTCTGGGGGACCACTTGATTACTTCCCTTCCGGAAGCAACCCAGAAAACAGCAATTCACAGCTTTTTGGGTTCCAGGTAAATTTGCAGGGGAGTAATCAAAATCTGCACTTAAGGCTGTCTGAGCTATTGATTTGTTCGCGAATCCTTCAAGGCCGTGTCTCACGCGACTTCAGCGTGGTCGGAGAAGTAGCACCCTTGGCCATACCCAGTACTGCTGTATCACTTTCAGTGGATTTGCTAGGTAAAATCCAGAAATTGTCCTGAATTTACAGAAGCATGCACAGCTGGGTGAAAGTAAATGGCACAATTCTCCCATTTTGGTTTGTTCATCCCCTTTACTTGCGCACATCAAGGGATTTGTGCCATCTACTTTCAATCTGGTGTCCTAGGGTACATGTCTTGCCCAAAGACCGAAAGCAATCTGGAGGCTCAAATATTGAACTCTGGAATACGTGCAACGCCATCTTGCAAAGAGTGCAATAGTGCAATAGCTTGGCACGTGACAGGCGCAATGTTTTCGCAGCTGCACGCATGGACAACAATGTTCCTCGGAGTAATGCTTCGCAACGTGTTTCTGGATGCCATTCCGGTGCTTGGCGTTACAGCACCTCTTGCTTCGCCCTTGACAGTGGTCCCTCTGTTTTGGTGCTTCTAAAATACACCGTTGAGTAATCAGTGCTTCTTCGAGTAATTGATTCAGTGCTACGTTTCGGGACCTGAGTTTCTCCGACCCATCGACTTGGTGCAATTGGCGAAGGCGGGTGAGGTTGCGATGGGTTTGAGGATGGCAACAATTTGGCAACGGCTGGGGAGCTACCTGCAAGTTACTGCGCCGAGGTTTGGGAGCTCAACAAAAATGGGCACTCCTCTAAGAATAATGGCTCTTGGATTCCACCTTGATCAGGGGAGTACTCTGGAAACCAGAAAATCCCCTTTTCGGAACCTGATCAACCCACACGTCTGGGTCCTTGTCGCCATGGTTTCCTATGTTACCTTTACATTGCCTATAACTCACTTGAGCGGATTGGCCGAAACCAGTCCAAGCTTTTTGTTTACCACAAAATTGGCTCCGTTGCTGTCTGCTCCCCTGCTAAAAGTTTAACTTTTAGTGGTTGAGTTCGGAAAACCCATTAGAAGGCCAAAAGTTTAAGTCCTAACATCCCTCGGCAAGCCACAAAATTCGAAACAATGTCCAACCTTTTGCTTACCAGGTTACCACAAATTTGGCCTTACCAAAAGAGTGGTGTTACTAAAAACAACTCGGAACCCGCTCCTTGGTGAACTGCTGCACGTGCTTCGGGGCGGAGCCCCCTGGCTCGGAGGTACAACAGGGCGCTCAAGGCGATGTCTGACTCAAAGATTCCCCTTACTTTCGTGCAATCGAAATATACATAACCAGGAATTGCTTATACCTTTAGCATAAATTGCATAATTAATTTCACCACCCAAAAAGACCGTCTACAGTGCCTTTATGCCTGATCTTGCCCAACATGGAACCCACCAGAGGGTCGACTTTAACGGAAAATTGTCCAAACCGCGACCCCGAAAACGTCAGGTTCCGTGTTAGTGGACAGGAGGGTGATTCGACCAAAACTTGGGCTTATCAAATAGATCAGGAGCGTTTTGTCGCTCCTACCCCCCTTTTGTTCTAGGGGTAGCTTCCCATTCCGAACCTAGGGATCCGATCCTTTTCACCGCCGAAAACCATACGAAGAATCAGGCTGGCGGAAGACAAACATGGTTGACCATGACCCACCCCCTAGATCTATTTCCAACCAATTGGCCTATCCAATGGAGATTAAAATCACGCAAATGGGAAACAAAGAGAGCTGGAGCTCTGCGAAACAAAGCCACATCGAAAGAATTGAAATGTATGGAGACAAGTGAAGTCACTGCCTACATGAAGAGTGAAGCAAGGACGAAACCACTTACACATGTACAGCCCTTCCAAAGCCGAATAAGTTAAGTAGTGAAGTGAGCCAACCAACATGTGAGCGTCAGAGAAGTCGCTTAATCGTCACTCCCGCACATGGCTTTAGTCCCAACCCTCAGGCATTGCAGTACAACGGCTTAGATGCGTTGCAAGATTCTACAAGAAGATCTGTCGGAGCGTCTCCCAACTTGTGGGCCATGGTCATTATAGTCTTAGAAGGCACCCTCAGGTTGTCCAAAACCGCAAAGAGGTGGCCAGAGCTACTGACCCGTACATTACACAGAGCGGTTCCCAAGACCCTTTCACAACTTTCCCTGGCAAACGACAAGAGCACCTTCTCCACAGCGTGGTCTGGTCATCTCAAGAGCTCCGTGTTCTTGCAGGCACGGCCAACTCTGAAAGTTCCTGCCTGCGCCCGTCTCGTACATGCCGCCCCCCGCCAGCATCGGCACAATGGACAGCCTCGGATCTCGGATCCCGGATTCCAGCGCGTGGCTCTCGGAACGGAGACCCTGGGAAAAAGGCGAACACTGGCGGCTGACATGCCATACCAAGGGTTGGAAAGATGGACAAAAAATCCTGCACCAGTCGGGATGAATGGAACCCTGTAAATAACGGCTGGTACGTCACCTATAGTAACTCTGGCAATGGCAAAAAGTGCACAAGTGCGATGATCCTGGGGTGCCTCAATTCGAAAGTTAGGATCCGAGCAAGAGCTATCTGTAGCTCCCAAATAGTAAACGGTAGGCCTCGAACAGCAGACCCCTCTCTCCTCTCTCTCTCTCTCTCCTTCTCTCTCTCTCTCTCTCTCTCTCTCTCTCTCTCCCTCTCTCTCTCTCTCATTCTCTCTCTCTCTCTCTCTCTCTCTCTCTCTCTCTCTCTCTCTCTCTCTCTCTCTCTCTCTCTCTCTCTCTCTCTCTCTCTCTTCGCTTCCCACACTGAGACGGCTTGCTTGGGATGAAGACCCCCCTGACCAGGGTTTGGTGAAGCTTGCACTTTTTCAGAGGGGAGCCCGTGTATGCTTACCACGAGGTACTTTCCTGCAAAATTTAAATTCGCATACAACCTCTGATCTTGTGCCTTTCATACATTTCCTGGGAAGTCGTCTTGAAGGTTGACCACCGAGGTGCATCTTGGCACTTGTTCCCAGCTCCAGGATCGGGAAGAGGTCGGTCAGGTAGTCCCGGAGCACGTTACCTCCGCCGGTCGCTCGCCAAACCCATTGTGGACGGACGAAATTCACGTACCGTACCAGGGATGGATGAAACCTCGTGGATATATAGATATATATATATATATATTATTCTATATATTTATCCTTCACATATATATATATATATGGTCACACCCCCCCCCATGAACTACATGTGCATTGCTCAGTCTATATAACCCTTACAAAACACTGGTATTTACGGTGTTTTCTACATGTTTTGGAAGTACAACTGCAAGAAAATTCCGGCCGGATTTCGGCCCTCAACCCATTGCATCTCAGCAGTAGAAAGTGCAAAAAACACTGAGTTTTTGAAGTTTTTTTTGGCCGAGTGGTAAAAAACCTCCATTGTTTGATGGTTTTTTGTTTTTTGAGCTCCATAAGCTCACAAAACTAAAAACAACTCGAGGAAAACCAAAGAAAACAAAAAAAAACTCGACAAAACCAAAAAAAACAAAAAACCAAAGACTTTGGCTGGTTTTGGAAGACTGCTTTGGTTTTTTGGTTTTCTCGAGGGTTTTTTTGTTTCTTTGGTTTGCCTCGAGTTTTTTTGGTTTTTTGAGAGCCAAAAAACCAAAAAATACATGTGTTTTTTTGGTTTGTGCACAGTGCTTACCCACCAAAACCATAAAATGTGTTTTTTGGTTTTTGGGCTCCATGAGCTCAAAAAAAAAAACTCAAGGAAAACCAAAGAAAACCAAAAAAAAACCTCGAGAAAACCAAAAAACCACAAAACCAAAGACTTTGCTGGTTTTGGAAGACTGCTTTGGTTTTTTGGTGTTCTCGGGTTTTTTTGGTTTTCTTTGGTTTTCCTCGAGTTTTTGGTTTTTTGAGCTTATGGAGCCCAAAAACCAAAAAACACAGTGTATTTTATGGTAGCACTGTGCACAAACCAAAAAAACACATGTGTTTTTGTTTTTGGACTCCATAAGCTCAAAAAACAAAAAAACAAACCAAAGAAAACAAAAAAATCCTCGAGAAAACCAAAAAACCAAAGCAGTCTTCCAAAACCAGCAAAGTCTTTGGTTTTTTGGTTTTCTCGAGGTTTTTTTGGTTTTCTTTGGTTTCTTCGAGTTTTTTTTTTTTGGTTTGTCGTGCGTTGGTCAGTCTATTTGAAGAGGAGGTGCCCTTGGACTCAGTACAGCAGCGCGCTCGGTTCTTTTCGCAGTCCAGCTTGCAGTGTCAGCAGCCTTTGGCTAATAGAGCAGACCACTCCACAGCAGGTCCATAGACGTCCACCGTTCCTGCTGTCTGGTTGGGCAGGCCCGGCGCCTGGAAGTGTGCCCCGAAGTGAAGCTTCGCAACTCCGTTCGGAGGCACTGTGAAGTACATCTTGGCCGTGCTCCAGGCGCCCTGGTCACCCACGAAGCTGCCGTACAAGGGGTCGTAGGCGGGAGTTGCAACTTTTTGTTGCTTCCCGCCTGTTCCAGGCTTAATGCTTTCCACAATCTGTGGATCCACAAGCCATCCCTCCACAAACATGTCTTCATCTACATTGCAGAATGGAGAGTTCTCAGGGCCGCAAGAGTTTTGACAGACTACCTTGGACTCTGAGCTGTTCCAATGAATAGCAGCCATGCTGTGAGTTGATGTGGAAGCTTCTCCATCCATTCGAGCCACCTTGCAGTGCTGTAGGCTACACATATTTCTTGGCCTAGCACTCTATTGCAATGCACGAATGTGTGTGGGCAAGTTCAAGCTGCTTCTCTTAACAATCCTTCGTCCCTTACGCCTGGCTCATTCGTCACAGCCTCGTCACTTCCTCATCACTTCCTCGTCACTTCCTCGTCACTTCCTCGTCACTTCCTCGTATCACTTCTGCATTACTTCCTCATCACTTCGAAAAATTACATCGTCACTACTTCATCACTTCCTCATCACTTCCTCATCACTTCCTCATCACCTCCTCATCACTTCTGCATTACTTCGTCACTGCTTCATCACTTCCGCATCACTTCCTCATCACTTCCTCATCACTTCTTTATTACATCGTCACTACTTCATCACTTCCTCATCACTTCCTCATCACTTCCTCACCTCCTCATCACTTCTTCATCGCTTCGTCTCTGCTTCATCATTGCTCCCTCATGACTTGTTCACTTCTTGCTCAGAATACATCAGAGCGGCTGCAAGGCAGGGAGCGTCCTCGCCCACCCTGCGCGCAGCGAGGCCATCGAGAACATCATTTTTTGAACAGCTGCGGGGTCCAGAATCAATTGAAAACATCGCTCCGGCAAGTCTTTTTTACTCGACATCGGCCTGCCACTTCTCGAGCAGCTCATCTACATCGCGTTTGCTTTTCCTCAACATTTCCTCATCCAGATGCATTTGGTGTTATCTTTGGCACTTGGTGGATGCAGACACAGACCTCCGATGAACAAGGACAAGTTGGTGTTGGCAGACTTGACAAGTTCAGACGCAGATGAGCAGATGGATCAAAGACACATGCCCCAAATGTAGTGTTGGCAGACTTGACAAGTTCAGACGCAGATGAGCAGATGGATCAAAGACACATGCCCCAAATGTAGTTCATGGGGGGGGGGGGGGGTGAGCATACATATATATATATATATATATGTACCAGTCCCTGGGCCACGTACCCCCCCCCCCCAATGGTATGGTCCCCCCACTCCCCCGCATCATCCGCATCTTGGGGATGATGCTGGCAATGCTGGGGATGCTGTCCAGTACCGTGTGAGCCCTGCAGCTTCGGTCCCAGACTCCCCCTTTCACCCCGTGAACCAACACCCCCGCACCTCTCGCAACATCCTACCCTAAACCAAACCACCCTGCAACCCCTCCTTAACCCCAACCCTAAGCCTAAATCAACCCAAACCCCAAACCCACCCGAAACCCACCGCAAACCAACCCTGAACCAACCCTGAACCAACCCTAAACCAACCCACCAAGCCTAAACCAACTCCGAACCACACCCCAACCACCCAACCACCCCACCACCCCACCCCCCCACCACCCCACCCACCCCCAGGGGGGGGGGGGGGGGGGGGGGGGGAGGGGGGGGGGAGGGGGGGGGGTCCACGGCCTGGAACATATATATACATAAAAATAATAAATTTCCCCACCTATCAACTGGTGCGGGAGTCGTCCATCCACTGTAGGAGTCGCTATTCGGGTATGTGTCAAAATAGGGAGATGGTGGGCGTCCCTCTAAACCAAGGCAAAGAGGGCCGTTCGGGGTAGGAACAGGACTTGCCCTTATTTGGCTGTGGGTCAAAAATAGGTACCCAGAATGGAACCCGGTATATGGAAGACACCAGCCAGTCAGTTGCCAAAAGACTCGCAGTCCGCGGCTTGGGGTTTCTTCAAATAGGGGAGACACAAAATTGTGGTTGTTTGCTTGTGTCACGTCTGGCATCTTCCAAAAATGAAAGGAACACCTCATGGTCGATGTGCCAAAGATCAAAAAGATGTAGAATTTGAAGGAACAGCAAGGCGTGCAGTCTGTAAGCCCTCATGTGCTGCAGTCATGTGAGTTGGTCGAGCCAAGCACGGAAGGTAAATTGAGAGTGCTTGGGGCGCTTGTCAAAACAACACATAAAGGCTGCTCAAAAGACAATCGTCCCAGACGGCCGTTGCTGTCGCGCTCGGTTGCAACCTACCACGCACAACAGATTTACAGCGCAGTGCTAGTTCTTCATCTTGAATGGCAGGTACCCCATTGACAACAGCAGCTTCTCCGTTTCTTTGGTGTGTAGCTCTTATATAGCATGCAGGGCACTAACAGCTGCCCATACGATGCGCTCTCATCCACGTGCAATGCGCTCATGATTGCCAGGCCCGGTCAAGAACACTGACACGAAAATGATGGGATGATTCAAACATGGCAAAACAGTGATCTTTGAGCTAGTAGATGTTAGCCCGTCTTCACTCTGCTCGCACTTCGAAAGAAAGAAATAATATAGCTGATTTACCAAACATCAAATACTCAAGACTCCCCTCCCACCAATTGACATGGAATCTGATAGGGTCCTGGTCCCTTTAAAACGAAAATGGTCCAAACTAGGATTCCCCAAAGTCAGGTTCCATGGTAGTTGGTGGGAGGGTATCCAAATTTCCAACACCCAGAAAAGGCCACGAACATTTGACTGCGAGCCTGTTGGCGAATACAATTCTGGAACCGGGGAACACTCTTTTTTGGTTTCCACTTCAATCCGCAGAGGAACAAGGGTTCCCAAGTAAGGGAACCTTCATGAGTGAGCCCATTGGGGTGTCCCCCCGACAAACAAAGGTCTTCCTTTTTGTTTCCTTCCCCAGCCAGCTGTCACATCCAGGCCAACATGGAAACCTCAGGCCTGTGACGGTGATGGTGTTCAGACCCTGCTTGGCGCGCTCGCAAGTGACACGCATAGCCTCCGGATGGAGCGAGGGCAGGACCGTAACACGGACGGATATTGCGGGCGTAGCCCTTGTTTTAGGAGAAAAGTGGACCTTCTTCTAGGAGAACCCGAAAATAGTCGTTCGCCTAGTGCTCACAGGTCCCTGACACCTGCAATAACAGCAAGGCTAGATGGTTGGAGTAAAGTAAGCGCAATAGTGTGCACATTGCTTGGACCCTGCCCGTACCCACTAGGAGTGGACGATAGACCACCACTAAAACGGTCCAAAGCAAATTAGAGCAGCTTGGGACTTTTGCTGATACCTCCCTCAGAGAGAGTCAGTGGGAATCCTTGGAAGGTGCGTGCCCTTCAAATAGTTGGGTCACCCTTGTTCCGACCATGGAAGTGAAAAAGTAATTTGGAAGACTACTATCCTCTTGAAAAGACCCCTTGTCTACTTCCATGATTGTCGGAGAAAAAGGGTACAACCCTTCATTTTTGCTTTTGAAGAAGTGCCCGGCTTGAATTGTGTCGACTCGTGTGGGGTGTCTAAGGCGGATCCTTTCGCTGTGGCTTGCCCGCGGGGTCAACATTTGTTGACCCCCTATTAAACGGCTTCAACAGACTCAAAAGTGTGACCTTAAGAATCCAGAAACTTAAACTAACACACTAAAAGTTAAAGTTGTTCAGACGCAAAGAGTGGTTAAGCAGCAACGCAAGGATGCTCATGAAATAAGATCATATATGGCCATGAATTGTAACAAGAAACACACTCAAAAACTATGTATAGGTGGACATTACAAACGATGTCCATCAAAGTTCACAACGAAACTCAGATTGACATAGATTTGTCTTGTCTGGGGGAACCCTTCGAAACTTGGGTGTCACTTGAACCAAATCCGCAAACAGCATGAGGCAGCGCTTTCACTCCCGTGGGCATGCGCATCTGGCCATGTTGATCCTAATCAAGTAGGCATGAGTCTATATACCTCACTTCCTGAGTGC